ACGGCTTTGTGTATTTCTCCAGAACTTTAATTTTTATTTGCATATGTATATGCAATTTAAAATATTTAGTATTGTTTTCTTTGCCTTTATATAGCAATACTGTAGTTATATAACAATATGTTGTAGTTCAATTTGCTTTTTTTTCACTTAACAATGTATCTTGGTAAACTTTCCCTAACCACGATCCACCTCGCTACCTCCTTCATTACCTCTGAAATTGTTGTTGTTGTTGCTGGTGGTTGTGGTGGTGGGGTTAGCAGGGTGTGTGTGGGGGGCCTGGTGGGGGGAGGCTATCTTTTTCTCCATTTTGTCCCATGTGCTTTCTGTTTCCTAGGAATTTTTCACAATTTCTGATCTGTTGATAGCACTTTTAAAAACTAATTTATTTTCTTGTGATTCTAAAGATTTATTTATTGCAAAATTTTTTAAAGGGATTTGAGTGGAAAAGGAGGTAGATGTGTGGTTCAGTCCAACATTTTGCTATAATCCCACAAGATTTTTTTTTATAATTTGGGTTAACTGTCTGCTGGTAGATAATTTAGTCAACTCTCAAATTGTTTTCTTGCCCTTTTATTTTCTTAATATTTATTCTTCCTTCCTTAGTTGTCCAAATAAAGAGGACAAAGAGAAGGCAAATAGAAAAATCAAATATCATTTTTCCTTTTGTGTTCATTACTGTGGAAAAAAAAGCTGACTTTGGGTGAAATTGCTGGCTGAAATAAAGCCCATGCCTTATTAGTGGGTGTCCTCTCTGCCTGAATCCCTTTTGCATGTGTAGGGGGGAGATAAGAATAAATTGGCATAAAACAGATTAACAGGAGAAAAACCATATTTAATTACATATATATGCATGGGAGTCCCACAGAAATATAAGACATCAAAGAAGGGCCAGATCATTGAAGATTATATAGTATTCTGAGCCACAGAGAGGAAAAAGGTCTTGGGGCTTCTGAGAGGTATTGGAGACAAGTTATGGGAGGGTGAGGGCAGGAAGTGTGTGGTGAATAAAGGTTGCCTTATTATGGGATAAGAAGTCTCTCAGGTAATTACAAGTCTCAAGCAGCCCTTTTTCTGGTACAGATACTTTTACTAATGCTGATTTATTTTATAGACATAAATTTCTTTTACAAAAGTGCAGCTTTTGAGAGCTACTTCTGTGTTTGCAGTTTCTCACAATAACCTGTTTGAAATATGCTACAAAAGTATATTTTGGAGTGGCATATTCTGGTCATCTACAGTCATATTTTGTCCTGAGTCCTAAAACGTGGATAACTGAGGCACTTTCATTACTTAGAAATGACTAGAATATTTTAATGAAACAGGCTTATTCAATAAGCCCTCAAAAGCAAAAAGAAAGTGGAATCAACTTAGTAGCCTCTCTTAGGGAACTAAAGTAAAAGTACTGAGAGAGCCCAACCTTACAAAAAATAATGAAGTTTCCTAATTGGATAATAGAGTACAAAATGTCTTGTCACAAGATAATATGGCATAATTTAGCCTATGATTTAAGGGAGAGATTTTAAAGAATCAGATTTTGAAAATCATATAAATAAAGCAAACAACACATGCAACTAGTATATGTGCAATTATACAAATACACATACAATTTATTGTCCAACTCACAGAACAAGGTGGTCAAATTTGAACTACATTGAACTAAATCTATAGCAGACTTGTATGCTAAATGTATATAAGAGATCAGAGCATGAATTCAGATCCTGAGACAGTAGTAGTAACTGACATATAGGGCAGGGGAGAGCCATTTCACATGTTCTTTCAGCAGAAATATAGTAAAGGGAATTAAAAAAAATGTTTCAGAGAAAGCCATGGTTTGCAAAATGGGCCAGGTGGAAAGAATATTAATTCTAATATACAAGGCAAGCATTCGAGGGTGAAGGACTAGAGATTGTAATCCATCCTCCTCTATGCCAGATTGAGTGCCATCCATACCATGCCAGGAAAACGTTCTTTTTAGGGCCATGAACCCAGTGAAAAATTGAGTACCACCTATAAATTCTATTCACTCCGTTTTCCAGATCATTAAAGGCATTAAACTAGACCAGACCCAACATGGACTCTTGCAACGCCCTACTACACATTGCCCTAGAGTTAATTATACTATCATTAATCATTTGCCCATTGTTTATAATCACCCAAGCATTTTTAATATAACTAGATTCTTATTCAAGCCTGTTTTAAATTAATTTTGCAAATAAGATTTGGAGGTCCAGATAGAATGATCCATTGGCACTTACATTAATCAATTATGCAGCACTTTCTCTCTCTCCTCCTTGGGTGTTTTTCTGATAGAATATGCCCTCTCTGCAGATCTGTGTTTCATGTTAGACATGAAATATGCCCTCTCCTGTGCTCTAGTTGTTTACAACTTTTCTCTTTCAATAACTGCACCATAATTTTTTAATCTGTTGACATAAAAACAACCAGATAATATTGACCCAAATCATACTTATTGTTTAAAAAATTAATTATACATCTGCTTTATTTCTTATTCACTTCTCTGCTCATGTCTTTATTTTTAGTAATTCATGCTAGTTCTCCATTTGAAGTAACTTGTTTTACTTGTTGATGTATTTCTTTTAACATCATCTAATCATTTTATGCTTGGATATATGTCATATATATTTATCCTTTTGGATGTACTAAATATTTTATTACTTTTTCAGACTAAATTGTAGTTATTTTTCTCATTTCTTCCTATATACTTTCTTATTTCTTCTACAGACTTTCAAAAACAATCTTTTATCTTCCTTTTAAGTTAGGCATCTCTACATTTATTACTAGACCTTATTCTTTTCCAGCTCTCTCACTAATAAAACATAGTGCACATAGCTAACCATAGTTTAGAATCAAATAATTTTATAAGGTTGGTAAGGAAAAATAATAGTTTCCCATCCCCACTCCAGCATTTCCCTCTTTGAGAAACAACAAATTTCAAGACATTGCTGAATATTTCATTATTTACCACTATGACTTGAATGAAAGTGCTTGAATTTGTACCACATCAATTTTATTTTAGGCATTATCTATTGCCTTCCCACTATGGAAGTTGGGATTTTTGTCATCTGTACCATACCAAGCCTCACCTGTTCCTACCACATACATACTTCCTTTCCTTTACTTCATTCTCCGCCTCATACTTTTTATTAGATTAACAATGAGGGTTTATTTTATTATGACTACCTAAATGCTATCTGAAATTGAAATAAATTATAAACTCTGATAAGTTACTTTTACTTGATCGTTACTTTTACTGCGGAACTTTTTGGTTTTTCCTGGAATTAATGATTACCTTCCTCTTTTTGTTTGATTTTTGTTTTACTTATCAATCATTCATCCCCTAACTTATGTATTGATGAACGCTCCCCTCAAGACTGCTAGACTCATTAGATATTTTCTTCATGTCATCTTCCTATAGAAGACTCTTCCAGAGCCTCTGACAACGTCCTGTCTGAAATGGCAGCACTCTAGGTCTGATACTCAGCTTTCATCCTGGGACTCCCCCTTCACCACTGTCCTGGGATTCGTTTATCTCCTCTTTCTGTTGGCTCTCCTGGTCCCTCAGTCTTAGGTTTTCCACTTTCTTGGCTTATTCTCCAAGCTTTCTAAAAATACATGCACAGGAGGTGATTTTTTTGGGGTAACTTGCATGTCTGAAGATGCTTTATGGCCACGCTTGTCCAACCTGCAGCCCACAGGTTGCCTGTGGCCCAGGATGGCTTTCAATGTGGCCCAAAACAAATTTTTCTTTCTTTCTGGAAGCTTCTATTCCTTTTCAATTTTCTCTGTGTTCTGCAATTTTACAATGATGAACCTTGGTGTAGATCTCTTTTTATCTATATGCGTTGTAGATTTGGTGGGCCCTTTAAATCTGGAAGCTAGTTAACGCATTTCTAATAATTTTTTACCCCTGATTACTTGTTGATTGCTTCCCTTCTATTTTCTTTCTTTCCTCTTTTGGAACTCCAGTCATTTGAATATTAAACTGAATTAGACTTCTCATTTTATTCTCTTTCATTTTCCATATTTTTGTTCTTTTGCTCTGCTTTCTGAGATATTTCCTTAATTTTATTTTTCAACCCTTCTATTAAATTATTGTTTTATCATATTTTCAGTTTCAAATATTTTATCTAGTAAGTTCAGTTTCAGATTCTAATAGATCTAATAGAATGTTCTTTTTTTAAATGGATCCTGTCTGGTTTCGTTTTTACATCATCTTTTGCTACCTAAGGATATTTTCTCCAACTTTTTATTATGAAAAATTTTAAACATATATAAATGGCAAAAGAGTAGTAGAATGATTAATAACCATATAAATTCTACCTAAATTCAATAATTGTTAACATTTTACTTTATTTATCTATATTATGTATGTATATATATATAAATTTTTTGCCAAACCACTTGAAAATCAGGTGTAGACATTGTGTCACTTAACCCCTAAGTTCTTCAGTGGGTCTAGGATGATCAACTTATCCTGGTCTGGTTTTTAAATGGAAAGTCTTGAGTGTTGAGAACCCCTTCACTCCCTCCCCATGTCCTAGAAAACCAGGACAGTTGATGACATTCTCCTACAGACCCACAGGACCACTATCACACCTAAGAAAATTAATGCTAATTTCATCTGATTCAATTCTACATTCAAATTTATCTAATTGTCTATTTCAGCATATATATGCATATGTGTGTGTATGTGTGTGTGTGTACTGTCTCTCTCTCTCTCTGACATTGAGAAACCAGACCAACTACTTACAGAATAATGTTTCATATTGTATTTTGAATTTTTCTAATTTTTTCTTCTGGGTGTTATTTAGCTTTCTGCTCTAATAATGTTTTATACTGCATGCTAGTACTCAGGTTAGGAAGTTGAATAGATTGAGGCTAAATATGTTTGGCAAAAGCATTCTGTAGATTATACCATCCACTCAGAGCACATCACGGTAGAAGGCACAAAGTGTCAAATTTTTCCACTATTAGTGATGTTTTTTTTTTTTTTTTTTTTTTTTTTTTTAATCCTGCCTCAGGTTTATTTGTACAAATAGCACAGGAGGACCCCAGCCCCATGCAGATGGCAGCCCCAGGGGAGTTACACCAGTCCTTCTGTCCTCGCATTGGCAGACAAAGATATCTATTCTGAAGCCTTTGTAGGGGCCTGGGCACCTTTGAGAGCCTGAGCTGGAACTGAAACTGGAGCTGAAGCCTGGGCCTTGGTTTGATCCTTGGCCTTGGCCTTGACCTTGACCTTTGGCCGGCAGAGCCTGAGCCCCTTGGCAATGCGTGCCCGAGCACGCTTCCCAAGCTTGGGGTGGGCAATGTAGGCAAGTCGATCGAGCTTGCGGCTGACACCCTTTGGGATCTTGGGCTTAACCTCCTTGGGCTTTACGAGGGCCTTGATGGCCTCAGCTCGTGAACTCATGGCCTTGGCATTGTTGGCCTGCATCTTCTTTAGGCCCTTCTTGTTGTGCTTCTTGGCAAAGCGCATGTTCCTCAGGAACTTGGGGTCCACCCCCTTAAGAGACTCGTATCTTTGTGATCGGGGTTTCTTGATACCATTTCTGTGCCATTTTCGGGACTGGTTGTGTGTGGTGTGGTTCTTGGACTTGGCCATGTCTGCACCCAAGCCGCGGTTCCCGAAGCTCCTAGGACCGGAAGAGCTAGTGATGTTAAGTTTGAACTCTCAAGTAAGATGATGATCAGCAGATCTTTCTACTATAAATGAATGTTATTTCCTTTGCAGTTAGCAAGTAATCCACAGGATGGTATCTGGGGGCTCTGAAAATATTCTGTTCTCCACAACATGATTTTAGCATCTATTAATGATTTTTATTTGGAACATTATTACAAATGGGGTTACAAAGTACTGATTTGTCTAATTCACTTATTTCTCCTACATTTTTAGCTGATAGTCTTCTATAACAAAGAACTTAAACTGAAATAAAATAGAAGTTCTCATAAAGAGGGTCAGTAATTGTTTACTTTTTTCTCTTCGATTGCCAATTTTCAGAGTCAGGAATGGTGCTATTGCCTCCACTGGTGGCAAATAGGGTCTCTCTCTCTCTCTCTCTCCCCCCCCCACTCCATATCTGGAATTATAGGTATTTTTGTTAATATAAAAGATTGAAAAATTAGTTTACTAAGATTTTCTTAAAGTCCTGCTGCATAGAAAAAGATTGATTTCTCTTGATGATGGTAAAATGAATTTGTTTGATCATTTTCCTATTGCAGTAGTGTTTAATAAAGTGATTCCTGGCAGCTTATTTTCTAAAACCTCAAACAAAACACCAGATATGATTCTGGGTATGTAAATATCTATCTCTCTACATGTAGTTACTTTTCCCAAAATGGAACTAGAGTGGCGGTATCTATCAATGTCCACCATTCGCAAATACCTTTGCATCTGTTTTCACTGTGGGGTCTGTCTCTCTCCCCTGACTTAAGAATAAATCTGATTGGATCTGACTAATGGGCATCTGTTTCAAATGCTGGTGAGCCTGCCACAGCCTGTGTTTCCTGCCTCAAAAAGAATAACTGGGCCAATTACCTTTTTTTCCCAGGAATTTGGCATGGGAAATCTGAGAAACCAAAGCAGCTAGCAGTAACACTGAAGTAGAGGTTTGATAAGCCATGTTAAGCAACAACCACATGAAAGGCAAAGTTGTGGGGAGGAGAAGCTGTAAGCAAAACAGAGAAAAGCAAGTCAGGTGGGTTGATGAACCAGGACAGTGTTTCTCCTCCAGTTGTTCATCTCTGGGAATGGCACCATCAGGTATCCAGTAGCCCCAGCCTAATGCAAGACATTGACGTATGGTAACAGGCTTAACTGCATCCCCTTCGACGATTCTTCAAGCAATTCTCCACCAAAAGTATAAATTTTATCCTGTTATCACTATTCCCACCTCAACTCTTACCCCTATAAATTTCATAAGACTTCCCATTTTTCATAAAAGGGAGCTAGAACTTCCACATGGCTTCCCAGCACATCCACTTCAGTCTTCTTGGCGCCTTGTTCTCTCTTCAAGCCATCGGGACTTGCCACATACTGCCCCTTGTTTCTGGAGCACTACTGCCTCTTTCTTAGACAACTCTTACTCCCACTTCAGCATTGGCATCACCTCGTCAGGACACTCATTCCTCTCTTATAGCCTCTAACAGGTCTGTGAATCCCCTCTTCATAGTATACAGTGGAAATTGTTTATTTTATATTTTTTCCTGTTTAATATCTCTCTTCCCCACTATTCTAGAACCCCCGTGGCCACTATATCTGGTTATTGCTCACTATTTTATCTCAGTATCTAGCACAGATATCGACACATGGAAGTGACTCAGCAAATATCTATTAGATGAATAAATGAGAAGCAAAGAAGCAGGGGAAGGGGGAGAACATGAACTTGCTTCTCTTTCATTCTCTCCACTCCACATTTGATTCATTAGTTGGTTGTGCAGAATCTACATGCAAAAATGTGGATTCACACCTGAATCTGAATACTTCTCATTACCGCCACTTCTTTTTTTTTCCTGAGCTAGCTGAGATTTTATTTTGGACCAGAAGCAATTGAATTGTTTTGCAGCTAGAGGCATGGGCAAGGGGAGTCCCCAGGCAGTAAACTCCCACGGGTGGGCTGAGGGTCGGGTGGGTCTCCCATTCCCTGCACAGCGGCCTCTCTCCTGGACTCTGGAGCAGCCTTGGGAGGGGTAGGCAGGGAGGGGCTGTTGCAGCTGTTCACTTGGGCAGGACATCAGAGGACTCAGACACCAGCCTCCCATCACGGGTCTCCATCTTCTTCACAACCACAGCCTTGGTGGAGCTGGTGCTGCTGAAGGAGCTGGAGCCCGCGACAGAGCCAAAGCTGGAGCCCAGGCCGTAGCTGAGGCCGGGGCTTGTGAGACCCCCATAGGCAGAGCTCAGACCACCTGCATAGCCGCTGGTGGTCTTCGTGTGGATACTCATGATCTGAATCCCGGACTCCAGCCGGCTCTCCTCGCCCTCCAGTAGCTTGTGGTAGATGGCGATCTCGATGTCCAGGGCCAGTTTGACGTTCATCAGCTCCTGGTACTCATGCAGCTGCCGTGCCATGTTCTGCTTGGCCTGATGCAGGGCTGCCTCCAGCTCCTGCTGCTTGGCATGAGCATCCTTGAGTGCTCGCTGCCCACGATCCTCAGCATCTGCAATGGCGGCCTCCAGGGAAGCCCTCTGGCCTTTGAGGCCCTTGATCTCAGCCTGGAGCCAGCTGATGTTCCAGTTCATCTCGGAGATCTGTCTTCGTACGCCGCAGGTCATCCCTGTGCTTCCCAGCCAGCATCTGCAGCTCCTCATACTTGATCTGGTATACGCTCTCCGCCTCAGCCCGGCTGCGGTTGGCGATCTCCTCGTACTGCGACTTGACCTCAGCAATGATGCTGTCCATGTCCATGGAGCGGCTGTTGTCCATGGACAGCACCACAGACGTGTCGGAGATCTGGGACTGCAGCTCCCGGATCTCCTCTTCATACAGCTGCCTGAGGAAGTTGATCTCGTCAGTCAGTCCTTCCAGGCGAGACTCCAGCTCTACCTTGTTCATGTAAGCTTCATCCACATCCTTCTTGATGAGGACAAATTCATTCTCCATCTCTATATGCTTACTGATCTCTTCCTCATACTTGTTCTTGAAGTCCCCCACCAGATCCTGAATGTTGCCAAGCTCCGCCTCCAGCTTCAGCTTCTCCTGGCCCAGTCTCCAGCTGCCGCCTCAGGTTATTGATGTAGTTCTCAAACATGTTGTCCATGTTGCTCCTAGCCATTTTCTGCTGCTGCAGGAGGCTCCACTTGGTCTCCAGCATCTTGTTCTGCTGCTCCAGGAACCACACCTTGTCGATGAAGGAAGCAAACTTGTTGTTGAGGGTCTTGATCTGCTCCTTCTCCTGGGTACGCACGGCCTGGATGTTGGGGTCCACATCCACCTTAATGGGGTTCAGCAGGCTCTGGTTGATGGTGACGGCAGTGATGCCTCCCATGCCTATGCAGCTGGCCCCAGCATATCCTGCACCCAGGCCACCCTGGAAGCCACTGCCACTCACTCGGGAGAAGTTCAAGGAACTCAAGCGGGCACTGGGCCCACTCATGAAGGAGCGGCTGCTGAAGGCCCCGGGGCCAGAGGTGGACACCTTGTAGGACTTCTGGGTCACCCTGATGGACATGGTGGAGGCAGGAGTGGAGGCAGGTGGGCTGAACCCGGAAGAGATTCCAGAAGGAGTGGAGAAGCTGCTTCTTGCCATTACCTCCACTTCTGCTAACCTAGTCCAAGCCACCATTAACTCTCATCTGAATTATTATACTAACCTACTTCCTGGTCTTCCTTCTTCTCTAGGTCCCGTTAGAGCAGTCAGAGTGGTTTCTTAAAATACCAGTCCCACATGACACCTTCCAATGCCTCCCATAACAAAGAGAGCAACGTCTAAGCATTTTCACACTCATGAGCCTCTACATGATCCTTGGCTACTCTCTCTAGTTCACCTTTTCCATTTCCTTCTTCACACTACCCAGTCATGCTGGCCTTTTTGTTATTCCCTCAACACATGAAAACCATTCTGGCCCTAAGAATTCAAACATTTATATTTTCTTTGCCTGGAATACATTCCCCTACATTGCCTCCTCCAATCTTTCAGGTGTCTGCTCAAAAGTCTCCTTCCCTGATAGGCCTTTTCTGACCACTCTAACTAAAATAGTCCACTTGCCATCCCTGTCAATCTATGTCATCTTTTTGTTCTTTTTCTTCATAGAAAATTTTACTTTCTCAGATTAAATCACACATTATTTTCTTATCTTCCCTAGTGGAATATAATAACCACTGAACACCATATTGCTATTAGGAAAAATCAGAGTCCAGAACAAAGGAACCTAGAGTTTGCTTGATGAATATTATGGAATGAATAAATTAGAAAGAAAACTAGCACCAAGACAGTGCCTAGCACATAGCAGTTGCTCAACAAATAATGTTACTCCATTTCTAAAGATATTTAACCTTTGATATCAGAAAAAAATGAGACTGAATTCTCAAATTAAGACAAATATAAATGACATTTTAAAACAGTATATTTAATGGAAGAAAGAATAATCTTTTCAATAAATTATGCCAGGACAACTGAATAGGCACAGGCAAAAGAATGAAGTTAGATCCCTACCATATGCCATATACAAAATTAACTGAAAATGAATCAAGGACCTAAATGTAGAGCTGAAATCATACAATTCTTAGAAGAAAATATGATTATAAATCTTTGTAACCTTGGATTAGGCAATGATGTCTTAGACATGACACCCAAAGCACAAGCCATGAAAGAAAAAAGTAGATAAATTGGTTCAGGTGTGGTAGCTCATGCCTGTAATCCCAGCACTTTGGGAGGCTGAGGCAGTCCGATCACCTGAAATCAGGAGTTTGAGACCAGAGACCAGCCTGGCTGGCATAGTGAAACCCTGTCTCTACTAAAACTACAAAATTTAGCTGGGCATGGTGGTGCATGCCTGTGATCTTGGCTGCTTGGGAGGCTGAGGCAGGAAAATTGTTTGAATGCAGGAGGCAGAGGTTGCAGTGAGCCAAGATTGCACCAGTGTACTCCAGTCTGGGTGATAGAGTGAGACTCCTCAAAAAAAGAAAAGAAGTGAAAACTAGATAAAGTAGATAGATAAAACTTCAGAAACATTTAAAACTTCTTAGATTCAAAGAATACCATCCACAAAAATAAAAAGATAATCCACAGAATGGGAGAAAATATTTGTAAATAATATATCTGACAGGGTTGCTACTCAGAATACATGAAGAACTGTTGCAACTCAACAATATGGGCAAAGTATTTTAATTGACATTTCTCCAATAAAGATAAATAACCAAAACACATAAGAAGATGCTCAACATCATTAGCAATTAGAGAAATGTAAATCAAAACCACAATGGGATACCACCAAACACCTACTAGAATGGCTAAAATATTTTTTTTAAAGGAAAATAACAAGTGTTGGCAAGGAAATGGAGCCTGCATAGGTTGCTGATGGGAATATAAAATGGTACAGCCGGCCTCCACAATGCCCAGTCTGCACTGCCGAGAGCTGCGCGTCGCAGCGCTATCGGAGGAGAGGGGCCAGCGGAGCGCGCAGCGCTATCGGAGGAGAGGGGCCAGCGGAGCGCGCAGCGCTATCGGAGGAGAGGGGCCAGCGGAGCGCGCAGCGTCCATGCCCGGGCCGCGCCCCCGGGCCGCCCCGCTACGACGCGGACCCGGCCGCACCACTTGGACATCTGGCTTTAGGTTCTCTGTGAGGCCGTTTTCTTTTCCCACTCGCTCATCTGCTAGGAAAAAGGACTTGCCGTTGGCGCTTCGGCCTCTTGTTCATTGAGAAAAAAGAGGAAATACTCCGCGTGCGCTTCTAGAAGGCGGGTCGTCTACAGCCCCGAACCCCGGAGTGTTCATCAGCAGTGAATTTGGCTCCGAATTTTCCTCTGTTTTTTCTTCTCCCGCCGATTGCTTGGAAGTTGGACTGAAGCAGAGCTTGGAAAGAAAGGAAAAAAGTTTGCATCGAGACTGGATTTATTTGCACATCGCAGAAAGAAGAGAATCCAAGGGAGAGGGGTTGGTGCAAACCCACCATCACGGAGTTCAGATGTGTTCTAAGCCTGCTGGAGTGACCACACTTCCAAGACCTGATGGAGGCCAGAGCTCAGAATGGCAACGGGTCGCATCCCTTGCTGCAGATGCCCCGTGACGGTGGCAGACAGCCTGGGGAGCCCGACCCTAGAGACACCCTCACTCAGCAAGTACATGTCTTGTCTCAGGATCAGATCAGAGCCATCCGAAACACCAATGAGTACACAGAGGGGCCTACTGTCGTCCCAAGACCTGGGCTCAAGCCTGCTCCGTGCCCCTCCACTCAGCACAAACACGACAGACTCCACGGTCTGCCCGAGCGCCGCCAGCCTCCTAGGCTCCAGCACTCGCAGGTTCATTCTTCTGCACGAACCCATCTGTCCAGATCCATAAGCATGGTCAGCTCAGGGTCGCGGAGCAGTACGAGGACAAGTACCAGCAGCAGCTCCTCTGAACAGAGACTGCTAGGATCATCCTTCTCCTCCGGGCCTGTGGCTGATGGGATCATCCGGGTGCAACCCAAATCTGAGCTCAAGCCAAGTGAGCTTAAGCCACTAGGCGAGGAAGATTTGGGCTTGCACACCTACAGGTATGAGGACTGTGGCAAGTACAAATGTAAGGAGTGCACCTACCCAAGGCCTCTGCCATCAGACTGGATCTGCGACAAGCAGTGCCTTTGCTCAGCCCAGAACGTGATTGACTATGGGACTTGTGTATGCTGTGTGAAAGGTCTCTTCTATCACTGTTCTAATGATGATGAGGACAATTGTGCTGACAACCTGTGTTCTTGCAGCCAGTCTCACTGTTGTACACGATGGTCGGCCATGGGTGTCATGTCCCTTTTTTTGCCTTGTTTATGGTGTTACCTTCCAGCCAAGGGTTGCCTTAAATTGTGCCAGGGGTGTTACGACCATGTTAACAGGCCTGGATGCTGTTGTAAAAACTCAAACACAGTTTGCTGCAAAGTTCCCACTGTCCCCCCAGGAACTTTGAAAAACCAACATAGCATCATTAATCAGGAATATTATAGTAATGAGGATTTTTTTCTTTCTTTTTTTAACACACACATGCAACCAACTAAACAGTTATAATCTTGGCACTGTTCACAGAGAGTTGGGATAGTCTTTGCTGTTTGCAGTGAAATGCTTTTTGTCCATGTGCCATTTTAACTGATAGGCTTGTTAGAACTCAGCTAATGGAGCTCAAAGTATGAGATACAGAACTTGGTGACCCATGTATTGCATAAGCTGAAGCAACACACACACTCACACACTCCTAGGCAAAGTTTTTGTTTGTGAACAGTACTTGCAAAACTTGTAAATTAGCAGATGACTTTTTTCCATTGTTTTCTCCAGAGAGAATGTGCTATATTTTTGTATACACAATAATATTTGCAACTGTGAAAAACAAGTTGTGCCATACTACATGGCACAGTCACAAAATATTATACTAATATGTTGTACATTCGGAAGAATGTGAATCAATCAGTATGTTTTTAGATTGTGATTTGCCTTACAGAAAGCCTTTGTTGTAAGACTCTGATTTCCCCTTGGACTTCATGTGTATTGTACAGTTACAGTAAGATTCAACCTTTATTTTCTAATTTTTTCAACATATTGTTTAGTGTAAAGACTATTTGAAGTTTTATTATTTTATAAAAAAGAATATTTATTTTAAGAGGCATCTTACAAATTTTGCCCCTTTTATGAGGATGTGATAGTTGCTGCAAATGAGGGGTTACAGATGCATATGTTCAGTATAAAACAAAAAATATATTAACGTTTGAAATAAAAAAAAAATGGTATAGCCATTTTGAGGATCCTCAAAAGGTTAAACATAGATTTACTATTGGACCCTGTAGTTCCACTCCCATGTATATATCCAAGATATTTAAAGGTGTACCTCTTCAAAACAGTTTGAACATCAGTATTTATAGCAGCATAATTTGTGGTAGCCAAAAATGGCAACAATACAGATGTCCATCAGCTGATGAATGAACAACAAACAAATGTTGTATACATACAATGGGATATTATTCAACCATAAGAAGGAATGATGTTTTGATTTGTGCCACAAAATGAATAAACCTTAAAAAAAATTAGGCTAAATGAAAGATGCTAGACGCAAAATATTACATATTGCATGATCCCTTTTATATGGAATGTCCAAAATAGGCAAATCCATAGAGACAGAAGATAGATTGGTTGATTGCCAGGGGCTGAAGCAGATGGGAAATGGAATGACTGCTAATGGGTACAGGGTTTCTTCTGGAATGATGAAAATGTCCTGGAATTAGATAGCGGTAATGGTTGCAGAACTTTGTGAATATACTTTAAAAATCACTGAATTTTATCCCTAAAAAGTGTGAATATTAGTATATAAATTATATTTCAATAAAATAAAGAAAAAACTAAGTATAATTTATGAGCCCATTAGAAATATCCCTGTATAAAGGCATTATTAGTTCCTCATTTTGAGCTATAATTTTCTTTTCAATTATTTATTAAATTTTAAAGCTCATTTTTGAATAAGAGATAATCATTGACAATTTTCTGTAAAACAAAAGCAAAGAAGGTGAAAGAATTAGAATAAAATCATTTAAAGTAGCTCTTGGTCATTCTGTATTTTCTATGTGGTCAGTATGTATACATTTGAAGAGAACTGCCCCAGAGTCTGATGGCTTCCTAATTTCTATAGTTGCTTTCATGATGCCCTGCAGTACTGTGGTTACTGTCTCTGAATTTCCAGGAGAGACAGTATACCTAAAATAACCCACATTTAATTAACTGGTTAGGTGAGTTACTGTGTCTTATGGTCATACAAACTCCATGAGAACAAGCATTTACTCCCACGTTTTATTTTTTTTATGTAATCATATAGTATGAAAAATCTATCCAATGTCAACAAACGTACACTGTATATGAATCATATAAAATGACTACATAGTGTTTCATTTAGCACAGATCTCCACACATAGAAGTAACTAAAATGTAAAATCTGACCAGTTTTCCATAATTAGACTTTTAAATTTAAGCACATTTATCTTCTTCACTCATTTGCCCACTTTTGTGAAAGGAAAATAAATCTTGGGGCCCCCAAATCACTAAGCTAAAGGAAAAAGTCAAGCTTAATAGTTTTTATTGAATTTTCAAACACATTTTTCTAAAACAAACCCTAAAATCTTCTCTGGAGAAAACAAAACATAAAAAGATGAAAGACTTACAATAAACTGATTAATATTTTGATGTTTTATTTTTTCTATTGGGGTTAAAAAATGGCTGAACATAAACCAGAATTCAGAATTCTGTGCAAGAGAACTGATGTCATAGAGAACGGATGTCACACAGCCTGTGTGCTGACCCATGGAAAAATGGGCAAAACAGTGGTTTTCTAGTTTCTTAGCCTTAGCTGAAGAGTGTGCCTGTAAAAGCCAGATTTTAAAATTTGGATACTCATTATCCATAATAAGGATCATTCTATAAGTCATATATTTGAGTAAAGAAGTACTTTACTCAAGTTCTTATTTCCTAAAATTAGTTTTGTTTTTAACTTTCTTTGCAGTTGACTCTAACTTACCTATGGGAAATTGGACTCAACTAAGTATGGAAGGTAATAGAATTGTTTCTTTGTGTTTTTTAGTTCCACTTCAGTTTACTAATAAAATAAATATAATTATTTCTTTTTCTTTCTTAGGTCACTTAAACCTCTGTTATTTTAAGTGTAATAGATTGTAATCGTTCAGTGTGTGTGATTGACCAAATTGCTCATTCCAGATAAACTGGATTTTCAGGGATTAAATTTATTTAGAAGGGAAATGCAGAAGAATGCTGTGATTTATAAAAGGGACAGAATGAGAAGCCCAATGAAAGGGTTGGCCGGATGCTCTGCGGTATCTTCTTAAAAATCTTTGAGGTTTTTATTGACCACTGGGTCAATAGCGAGAATTATCCTAGAGATAATTCAAACATTTTTTCCCCTAAAATTCTTCTCATAAAATGGACTTGGGTATTCTCAGTTTGTAAGATTAACAGTTTGAACAAAAATTCATTCCCATTCCTTTAGTCATTCCAAAAGGACTGTTTTGAACCTGACTTACAGCATAGAATTAATTCTGAGTCTCATAGGAAACATATTTTGGAATTTCTGGGAGCGGCCGCGGGAAACAGAGCTCTCGAACACCGAATGGGGAAAGAAGGAATTTATTATTATTATTATTACGGTCGGGAGCCGGGCGCTGGTTCCAAATTACCCAGCTGGTCTAACAAAGGAAGGTTCTGTCTTTATATAGGCTTACACTCCAGATATTACAGGTGGAAGAATTTTAGGTTAGCCTTAGAAATCACAATTGAAAGAGTTTTGGATTTACAGCTTTAGGAATCACATGTGAAAAGGTTCTAGTTTCCGGATGGAGGTTTGATCTTGCTTTAAGTAAAAACAGTGTCTCCCGGAGAGTTTCTCGATACCAAGCGTATTATTTACAGGAAGGTAAATTCAGGAGGTGCCAGTCAGCCAGTCTTTCCTTCTATTGAAATGCATTATGGAAGTCGAGGGGGAAGTTGATCCCAGATGCCTGGGTCTCCTTCCTCACCCCCCACTTTGAGACCTTCACTACTTTATCATATCAGCGACAGGTCTCACTCTTATTTTCACTTTCCAGATTCTTTGAAGAGATTGATTGATAATGAATTATATAATATACTTGTGATGTCGTTTTTCTGGTCTATTACAGCAATAAAGGATTTCTTAGACATTCAGAAGAACAAGGGGAGTAATAAACAAATAGCCACTATTGTTATTACATTTAGATGAGGGTTTTTAATCCTCCCAAGGCTGAGGACCAGCCTTTAAACAAGGACTTAGGGTTGAATTTATGTCATACCTACACAGGTACGTGTGCTGGTTTG